TTTGTCCATCATTCAGGAGTCTCCATAGAGTTAAAAAGAACTGGGTTCGGATTTTCCAGGGTTGTTCTGCTTATCGACCGATACATTACCAAAAAAAAAAAAAAAAAATTCGATGAATAGTGTTAAATGTCAAATGGGGCTCACTCCGAATGAAATAAGTCAACACCATTTGCAGCAGTAGGCATCTTCTCTGTTATGGAAGTAGGACCTATAAAGATGGTGGCGTTTTCATTTTGCAGTGAAACATGCTTGTTAGGACAACAACTTGCCCGTTAGCCTGGAAGAGTCTTATGCATTTTTCGAGCGTAGCGATGCGCCGTATATATGCTAATTCAGTAATATTTTTGCTTGTTGTTGCTGCTTTCTGTCACTCATATCATAAGCACCTGCCAGTCGAGGACGTCGTGTCACTCTATCCGGAGAGTGACCCCACTAATCCACCAATTGCAGCACCAACTTGTCCACCGCGAGCTGCGCCAACTGCTCTGAAATTATTCTTCTCAAACACTGTTTTTCTTAATGTCTGCTAGTGCAAGAAGGCCCGCAGGTGATTTGCATCGCCGTCTTTTATAACGAGTAAGTAGGCACAAGGCTGCGAGTGTCGCTTTTTACGACTAATAATCTTTCATAAATGTGAGAAGTACTTTTCAAGCTAGATGATGCTAACAAACTCCACGGAACGAATTTGCACTAACAGGTCTTATTTTGAGCAAAGAGGGCCTTGCCTTCCCTTTTTCCAGTTTTATTTTGGCATAGTTTAAATTACTTTGTGGACTTCGATGCATGGCATTTTATTGCTTCATTAGCTCAGTGGCTGTCTAGCTCCTAGTGAAGAGCAGGGGCGCTGTAACCTGGTGCTTGTAGTGATTATCGTGCCGGAGAAAAATGTTTGTTTCGCTCAGAGGTTTTGCGTTAGCAAAAGATTCCGTCATTGGTTGCACAGTTTCCAATTAATATTTGCATCTCTTTGACTTCATTTTCGTGTAACTGGTAGCGCAAACTCACTACTGTGTTTTTTATTGCAGCAGCTGCTCAAAAAGCGCATTGTTTTCAGGTCCCTGTTAATGTGTGTGTTTATCCAAGTGTATTTGGTCCCTGGTTTCAGCTCTGAAACTAAAAAGCTACGACGCTGTCTTCCCACGTGGGACTTCGCGAATTTAAATTAAGCTTTCGTGTGTGTCTGAGCCTCACGTTTGGCCACGTGAAAGTTTTGGCGCGAAAATTATTAACTCGGGAAACACAAAAGTTAGCTGAAAATTTTCGAGGGTTTTTAACGTCAGTATGCAGCTAAAAAGGTTTCAAAATCAGTTCTGGTACGCACCTACTCTCACATACAGGCGCGTAAAATTTTGGCGAGAAAAC